ATTCTTACTCAATTTCCCCTAGTGTAACTAGTGCAATTTTCTCAAAGTATAAGCTCTTAATATGAAAAACATGGAATAAGATAATCCTAGAAAGAGATCTGAATGCTTTCTCTTGTTTAAAGTTTCAAAAACTAGTAAGAGGTACTATGTCAATATGGGGTGTTCTTACCCAACTTATTATCAGTATTATATGTTTGGAGGAGAGGAGAGTTCATAAATCAGGCTTCAGAGGGTTTACTGACAAGATCTTTTAAGAGATGGTTCATGCAACTAAAGATGTTACCTGAGGTTGCATCAGCTGCCAGAACTGAAATTAAATTTTTTCCTTTATTGACATTTCAGATGGGGTTTTGGATTCCCTGAGGCAATGATTGTCTTTCAATATTTAAAAATTTGCCAATGTTAGTAACCTGTGCTAGTGCTTTTGTTGTTGCTTATTAAATGTCTATTACAAAAGTCTTTGCCAGACAGAGTAATGATTGACCTTTGTGTCAGTCTGTCATTTTTGTACCTTTTTTTTCCAGAAAGGGCAAAATTATACTGCATTTTAGCAAACACTGCATCTTTGATAGAGTGCTAAGTTGTGTGAATTACTGTGCAAACGCCGTTCTCTTCAGTTGTTTAAAATTACTTGACTCATCTTTTCCCTGAAATTATTAAGGTCTGGCTAGGTAGGTGACAGGACTGAACTTCCAAGGTGGAGATCTGCATGGTATTAAATGGAGGGAAAAAAATATCTCAAGCATGTGTAAAGATTCTCATCCTATTTAGATTTGGAGCAAACAAGAAATTCTTTTTCAGTGTGGTTCAGGTAGAACAACTGCATAACATTAGTTATACAAAGTCTGGTGTGCCTGTATCAGAACTCTGTTTCAAGTGATACCCTTTTCAGACAAGGTTACGCACAGATTAAAATCATACTCAAGTATGAAAACACTGCAAAATCTGTGTTAGTAATCAGCTCACAAACTGAGTTGCCTAGATCCATGTGCAAGCTTTAATTTTTAAAGCAATTTCCTTACAGCTGTCTTTAAACTGTACACTTACATATTTTTATAACAGTTAACTTTAGGTGATTTTTGCTAGTAAAATGCAGAGGATATGAACAGGGGGCATTACGCCTTCCTTTTTAAGGGTAACAAACCCAAGTGTTAAGGAGATACTTGATGAAATATTTCAGATCCATGAGAAAATACAGTTAAGCAGCTATTTGCGTTTTATAATATGCCTTAGTATTGCACTCTTGGAAGAGACAGAGTTATGTCAGTAGTGAATCTAGTCTAATGGTCGAGGTAAAGTGAAGTGGTTAAAGGGCGAATAATAAATTCCTCTTGCTTTTGTTCTTAATATAGGTTATTAATAATGTATTTGTGAGGGGGGTTACTTGCTTTGTATCCTGACTTGTCTGATCAAATGACATTATTCTTACTTTTCCCCCAAATAGTTGATACTCTCCCACCCACATTAGGCTAGTTAGCTGAAATTATTAGTTTGTTCTTTAAAAGGCCTGGACGTATATATTTAGCTTCTTGTTTTAAGGTAAATATTTGAAGAGTCTTTCTTGCTCCAGAAATTTATAGCACAGAGCCATTTGGCACTGAAATGTCACAAAAACCATTTTTCAGTAACATTATTCTCAACCTTGGAAGACTGTTCAATGAAAACATTGAACATACTGATCTCTCTTGCTGTAATTGAATTTACAATTTGATTGAATTTGTTAGCCTCTTTACTAAGGAGGGTTGTGTTCTAAGAACAATTTCATGAGTACAGGTTGTCTAATTTTGTCATTTTTAGTACCTGTACTAACAACAATTTTTACAAGAGTAAGGCTTCTAAAGTACAGTAAATGACGGTATCCTGCACTGAGTATTGAAATGTTTCCTAAGTGTCCTTGATAGTGGATAAAGGCTCAAATATTTATGGAACTAACTCACTTTACCGAGGAATAAGGGGCAAACATGCAAGCAAATTACTCTCCTAAGGAGGAGTATTGTAGGCAGTCACTTCATGGTTCTGAGCTTGTGGCTGTGCATGTCTGCTAAGTCAAACTGCCAGCAGACAAGAAGATGCGAGAAAAGCTCCCTGCAAGATGAAAAGTCAGCGGCATCTGTATGGTCATGCAAAGGGTTTCAGGAAATGGCAGAATTCCTGCTCAGCTCCAGGCAAAGAATGAGTGACAAATCCCGAGATTCCACGAGTGTGAGCATGGCTTCCTTTCCGTGTCGTGTCAGATGTTGTTTCTATAACTTGAGCCCCTTATCCGTTTCCTTCATCTCGTGCGTTGGCAGCTTTTCACAGATAAGTGGGGTCTGGTCTGAAAATGGAGCTCCTAGTACCAGGGAGCTCATAGTAACTTGTCTAGGAAACAAGAGTGAAATGTACTAGTCTTACCATGGTAACAATAAATAACAGGGTAAAATAACACAATTTGTTAGTGGAACCCAAGTTGAACTATGTTCCTGAAAATCTTCTGTGCTGCAGGCTCTGCAAACACTGTTTGCAGTGAAAAAGGAAAACTAAGTAATGAATGGAGGGTACTTTGGATAAAGCCATGCAAGGCTAGAATGGTGGTAGCCATTCCGAAAGCTGAAATCCTGGTTAGTGCAGTGAAGTCCTCAAATTTTCCTGTTTATACACCTACAGATTTCTATTCCTGGTAAAGCCTGTTGTGTAGCTGTCAAGGAGTTATTCTCTCTAATTTGCTTTAAATGGGGAAAGAGGATCATCCAGTTATTAAAAATAGTTGAGTCAGAGAGTATGGATCAACTTTTGCTGACAACAGAGAAGACTATTTCTTACAAATGCAGTACTCTGATTTTTTTTTTTTTCACCTTTCTGCTAAATACAGCATTGATTGGGTCTGAAGGTTTGCTTTCTGTTTAGCTGCATATACTGAGATAAATCTCTCTGAGTCTCACAGATCTTAATCTGAAATGTGGTCAGATTGCACTTGTTGATGAGTGGGGATACTGTGATGAAGTCTCTAATAGACAAGCAGTACTTGTTGACTTCAAACCATATAATTTTCCATAGTTTGTGTAGCTTAATGTTAATTGTCTCCTGCTGTGTTGCAGCAGTTTCTAATAATGGGAAATAGGAGCTCTGCATTTGGAAGGCGGGGATTAGATTCCTGTCACTGCTGTGGATTCAAATAAGTCAGTTCAATTCTGTTTGTTGCCCAGTCAGTGGAGGAATTTGTCATCTCTGAGTGTTTGTGATTAGCATGAGTACCTGTTGCTACGAATCTCCCTCTAGCGTGCTGTATGCTACAAGGTGAAAATTTTGCAGTCATGCAGAATCAACTGTTTGATAATGCTGCTGTGAACTTTTGTCATACTAGAAAGTAGACTAGAACTTTTTCTTTTTAGAGAGAAGGAGTTGCTTTTAGGTTCAGTTTTTAATTTGAAACGATCTGATCAAAGTTGGTAGCGCCTGCAGTAAAGTAAAACCTTTTTTACATCAACTACTTTCAAGTTATTTATTCCCTTTGTGCCTATGGTGCAAAACTGAATGTGAAACTGTTATCAGGAACTGCTAAAAACAAGATTAAAAACAACCTGCAGTATTTTTGGAAGTGTCTCTAGGATTGCAGACATCTTAACATAAAATTTGGTTAAACTGGGAGGCTTGTTTAACAAGCCAAAAAATGAACTGACCTGCTGATAGACTTATTTTCTTTAAAACATTTTTTGTACAAGAACTTGATTCTAGCACTTTAGTTGACAGCATTTCAACTGCTTCTTTTAATGTAGTACTGAAGGAAAACAAGGTGTTTGGATCACTGAATGTTCTAATATTTTTGAATACTTTCCTAAGTATCCATCCCTTTCATATTAAATGAAATATTAAATTGAATGAGGTAATATACTCAGTTTTATAATAGCATTTGCCTTCATTAAAGGGTTGTGCGGCACCAAACTGAATGTTGGAAAATGCTAGCGATGCGATGTGGTGTAGAAATCTGTACTCTGGGTGTATGTGGTTTTCTGACTGTTGTGCATTCTAGATCCCACAGTTCTTGACCCATTTGTCCTTCACAAAGAAGTGTATTAAAATCATCCTGGATGTCAAGCCGTGTTTTAACTCCTGGTAGCTCCAGCTATGCTTTGTGCCAGGGTGCTGTTAAGTTCTTGATCTTCTTCCTTTTACTTAATTTTCCCCCTCTGCTGGTCTGCTGTTGTACTGCACTCCCCTCTGTCTATGGTACACCTGCCTTTTAGAGTTGGTATATCTGTTGTTTGCTTTCCAGCAGTTTTCCTCCTTGTCTTGGAAAGCAACGTTAATTTTAATAGTTGGAACCTACGTTCCAGTCGGTACCTCTGCAGAGATCATCCAGGCTCCAGGGAGGGATCTCTTCTGTAGTCTTCCGTCTAGTGGAGAGCTTGTTTTTCCAAAACTTCTCATACTTCTACGGTGGAGATGATTTTACTTGTTAGAAGACTGCCCGGACCGGACACTGAAATTCAAGCTCTCGAAAAATTATTTTTAAGAGCAGGAGCATCTCTGCTTAAAAGAGGATGGGAATATATTACTGTCTGGAAATAGTACAGCAGTATGTTGAGACAAGACATAAATAAAATATTATTTGAAATGGGCTGACTTTTTTCCTCAACTGATTAATCTTTGTCTTGTTCCACTGTCAGTTCCAGACTGTCATTTCTAAGAGAGGGGTTTTTAATGCCTTGAAAGAACAAATGTGCATGTACAGTACTATTGAGCTGCTCTTTTGACTTAATGACCAAGCTGCCAATTAGTATCGTACTGTCTGATCTCTACAAGCTGCCTTGTTTTGGTCCAAGCAGAGAAAAGAAACTGTAAACACAAAATATTTTTCATAGGGTTTTTTTTTTTTTTGCCTTCCTTAGTAAGACTATGTAACTTGAAGACTCAGAGAAACCTTTTAAGTTGTTCAGACTGAAAGCCTGTGTTTCCTTGCCAGCTCTTTGATTGTGGATGAGAAAATCCTTGCACTAAAAATACAGATTTCTCAAACTAACATGCACTTCTGCATATTTGATTCTTCTGAAGCCAAAAAATTTTTTTTTTCCAGATTTTCAGGTTATATAGGTCAATGTTAGAAGAAATTGAACACTCTTGTTTCTTCTGTGCCAATTCCATGTTGGATGAAAGTGGTCAGAATGTCATTGGCAGGCAGCGTGCTACAGAACTGAATCAAATTGTCATGTTCTTTCACCCTTCTGGTGTCTGTGTTAGTGAGTTTGTGAACTGCAGCAAAGCAACATTTTATCTTGTCAAGGTTCTACAAGCAGATGACTGAAACTGCATGAAGATCATACTGGTTCAATGAAAATATATTGGAGAAACATAGGAAACTTGTATCTGAAACAGTCGGTTTTCAGATTTTCATTTAATCTTCAGCAAAAATGAATGCATATGCTTTATTCATGAGCTTTAGTGACTCAGTGCATTACATAGGCTGTATAATATTTTATACTTTTTAATTTATGGGTGTAAGATACAGGGTTTGATTTTTAGCAATTAAAACAAGACCAAATCATGGAAAGGTAGATGCTTGGCTTCTCGGACAATGAAATACAGGTATATTTTTATTATCCAAAACAAAGGTGAATTGTAAAATTTAAGAGTAGGGGAAATATTAACATTTATAATTCAGCCAGCTGATCACTTTATTCTATAAAATTCTGTTCTTTATTGCTCCTGGATATTTGGCATTTCGAGAAACTCGCTCATTACTCAGGAGTGTTTGGAAAATTACTGTATGGATGAAAAAATTACTGTGTGGATGAAAAGCCTCATGCATGATAAACTGCTGTGACAAAGATTTAACTTTCATTTATATGCTTCATTACTTTGAATATTTTAATGGAAGACGTGAAGTTTAGTGGTAATTCCAGTGTTGCCATGTAATATCAGTGTTGAGTGATAATACATAGGCAGTGAATAATAAAGAAGCACGTATTACTTGAAAGGTACCATTATTAAAGCCATGACTTTTGACCTACAATTAACTTAATGTCACTGTCAGTGTACGTTGTAATTTGAACTAAAGTTTAATTTTGAAGCTTGTTTGAGGAAGGGTTGTGTGTTTTAGGGTATTGTCAGTGATTCTGGTTCCGTAGAGTAGCCTGTGCCACCATGACCAGGGTCTCTGGGAGTCAGTATTCAGGGTAGAGTTTTTTTGGTAGTAACACTGTAAGTGCTGGTAGAGATTGGGTCCAATGCCACTAGATTTTATGGATGGATATGACACAATCATTATCTTATTCTTGGTCCAGATAAGATGCGTGCTGACTGAACAGTGTTCTCTATTCTTGATCAGAGGCTTGCACAAAAGTAGGAAACCTCTCTGCTGGGAAGAAGTTCTAATACCTTTGGAACACAACTGGTTTGTTCTTACTCTTCCTAAAACATGTCCCGCAGCCTTTCCTACTGCAGTTCTCACTTCCTAATTTCATACAGTGCAAAGGCCCACAGTGACAGTAAGAGATTTGAGTCATCTGTAGCTTCCAGATTGCTCACTTGGAGGTTAAATAGTATTGAGGAAATTAGACTGAAACGGTATCTAAAAGGTCATTTAGGAATTCAGGAAGATAATACTGCATAGGTTCTTGTATTTGAAAGGGTTCAGGGCGTGTTGCTTCCTTTTTTTGCGACTAAAGACCAAGCCTTTTTGGATAAGAGCATAGATTCTTCAGTCTCAATGCCATATGAGATGTACACAGTAAGTTGCCTGGCTAGGCAGCATTACCAGTGTAGTGATTTTGTTTCTGGAGGTGTTGTCTGAGAGCTTCCAGGCATCTGAGGCTAAAGTGCTGAGGTCATTTGGCTTTGATGCAGCTAAACCAATGGGTTATGTTGTAGATGACTGCTTTTATTCCATAATCTTACTGGAATTTGCTACAGGGTGGTTGTTTTTTGCTTCAGCCTTATCAGTGCTCCATGTTGTCACTGGTTTTGACACCAAATAAAACTATAATAAGCTTCATCAGTAACGGCATAATCACAATTTTTTTATTTAGTCTTAGCCTAACCCTGATAAATGCTGTTGCATGCAATTTAGCCATAGTTACAGCATTACTGTTATAGAAGTGTCCTTTCTATTTCTGGGGAACAGAAGTGGGGGTGGCAGTGATAGATAACTGGAGGGAAAGTTGTGCTGGTGGCTGTAGAAACTTACTCAGGCCAAGCTGGTGTCCTTGTTGTCCAGACTGAGAGAGAAAGCTTTGATGGATATTAAAGGGAAACAACTATTGTGAATTGTTGCAGGGGGAGATTGAAGCAGTAATGGAGGGGGGGAAGTGGTCTGAGGCTGGGAGATAGATCTCCTGCTAGCTTGCCTTTTACTGTGCTCTAAGGCAGTGATAAGGAGAGCTCTTTTGTCATTGTGATCCAAAAGTGTTTCCTTAGGTATAGTTCTGGCCTTCCAATCATATGCTTATTTTTCTTCCACATTTGCTAACTGCAGTGTAGAATGGGGCGGTCCAGTTTTTCTTGGTACTGTAGTCATGTTTGTTTAGATACTGTCTTGGGCAAGGTTATATGATAGTTTAGGGAAACTTGCACATTTGAGCTATGATGCTAATGACTAAATGGGAGACTTCCTTTTCTCAAGTTCAGACAGCTTTCCAGAGAACAAGTGTATAACTGCTTCATTTTAAAAAAAAATACATAGTTACATAGTCCAAGATGGGATTTATAACTAAATAGAGCTAAAACTGATGCTATTTAAAACGCGACATTTAACGGGGGAAGCGTTGAGCCATGAATTCTGTTAAATAACAGTAACATACAACTGAAACAGAGCACACTACCCTTTCTCTGGTAACACGGCAGTGTGGTTTCACCTCAGCAGACTGATAGTACCCTATTATCTTCTCATTCTGTATGACAGTGGCATTTAGTCAGGCTCTTAAAATAACACTAGGGACATTGTTGATTTTCATAACTTTCTGACTCTTTCTGACAGTGCGAGGATCAAAACCAGGCAAAAATGTCCAGCTTCAAGAGAATGAAATTAGAGGACTGTGCTTGAAATCCAGAGAAATCTTTCTGAGTCAGCCTATTCTACTAGAACTTGAAGCTCCACTGAAAATATGTGGTGAGTTTTGCAATTTTGATTTGATGCTTGAAGGGAGGGCAGGGGGCTGTCAGGTAAATGCAGACCTTAAACAGAGAACAAATGCCAGCTGCTATTTTCAATTATTAACAGTGGAACTAATAAACGACTGTAGCAAAAGGGAAAATAAAACCCTGCTCGATGCTTAGGGTGGAGGAGTGGGGAGGAGGTAGCAAACATGGGAATTGGAGTGGGGACCAAAATAATCCAAACCCAAAAAGTAACTTGGCCCAGTTTTACCAGGTCTCTTGTGGAATGGATTCACATGAAGTTTTGGAAAGGAGTTTTGTATCAATGTAATAATGTTTGGCCTAGTCATCACTGAACGAGGGGAAGCAAAGGAGAGCTACAGTAGTTTCTTGTAGTTGCTATTGAGAGTTGAACAGTGGTTTGACAGTATTTTAAGATCCTGCTGGAAACTTAAATTTCTGTAGTGTTTCTTGGGATTACTTTCTAGTTTGGTTTCACCATACTTGTACAGAGTGGTGCTCATTTTGCACGCACGTACATACCTAGTTACACTAAAAGAAGGACAAATGTCAAAATAAAACCCTCAATAAATGCACTTTTAAAAGCTTCCAGCAAACAGTATTTTATGCTACTGTAACATTGAGAATCTACTTCAAATTGAAGTAGCATGTTCAATATTGATAACATTGGTAGTCTAAAACCATGATTTAGTGTTCTACTTGTCAGAAAGAAAACCCTGATTTAAACGAAAGGCAGAAATACCAATTTTGTTTTCGATGCAACTTCACTGCTAGAATTTGAATTACTGAGTGTTTCAAGAAAACACCAGAGAATGGTACAAAGGAAAGCAAATTCCCCAAGTGGTCAGTTGTCCATGAATATTACTAATGCTGTGTGGAAATACCAAGAATGAGGTAAAAGTTCCTGATCTCACAGCCACTAGTCAAGTAAAGGATTTAACTGGATGTCAGGTTTTCATGTGAACATCCAGCCAGTTTCTTGGAATCTTGATTTTGTTTTACACATGTGTGAATATTTTTAAGTAGCTACGTACTTCATCTTAGTGCAGTTAACCATTGCATTACATCGATGTCAAACTTCAGAATGTGATAATTTTATATACATTAAGGTAAACTTATTATTAGGTATGTTGTAGGTAGTATCTAACTGTAAGCTTTTTTTTCTGAAGTGTCATTAATTTGCTCTTTCTCTAGAACCAAAGAATGTAGCAAAGGGTCACTTACCAAATACTCTTTACAGGTGACATCCACGGACAGTACTATGACTTGCTTCGACTCTTTGAGTATGGAGGTTTTCCACCAGAAAGCAACTACCTGTTCCTTGGTGATTATGTTGACAGAGGAAAACAATCTTTAGAAACAATTTGTCTTCTACTGGCCTACAAAATTAAATATCCAGAGAATTTTTTCCTCCTCCGAGGGAACCATGAATGTGCCAGCATCAATAGAATTTATGGGTTTTATGATGAATGTAAGTAACACAGATGTGTGCATCTTTGACTTGGGAAATCAGGAGGTGCTAGTGTTGCAGTGGTAGATGATTCTTTCCTGACTTGCAGTTCCCTTTGCGCACTTGGCCTATTTTAGGAAGGGAAGTATGTCCTTTCCCTGATCCTCTTGGGAGTCCGATCCTCACCGTACAAAGCAGCATACAAGAGGGTAATTTTATTTATGGGCCGCTATGTTCCCTAACAGTTCTCACTGGTACATATTGTTAAAGTTCTTAAGGTCATCTAATGAGAGATGAAAGAATTTTACTTGACGTGCTTTACAAAAGTTCACCTCTGTTTCTTTCATCTGAGGGATGATGACGTATACTTGTGCTATAACTTCACTTGGAGAATGGGCTGGTCTTTGCTGCCGTTCTGTTACAGTGCGTGCAAGACCTGTAACTTTGTAATGTAAAAAAAAAAAAAATACTTTGCTCTCCTCTGGATGCAGTCCTGCTGTACTGTGTGCTCTTGCTTCAGCCAAAACCAGTATTCCCTCTCACAAATGGGACAAAGCATGTGTGAAGCCTTCAGTGTGATGCATGCTTTGATTGAGCACAAGATACTTGCTCTTTCAGTAGGTGGCTTCAGCTGCAGAAGTTGTTACTTGAACCAGTGCGTCAGCCTCTTAATGAAGAAACGTGCTTGTATTTGGCATCATGAGCACTCCCTTTGAACAAGCGCGATGTTGCTGTGCAGTTGATGTACCAGCTCTGTCGCTGCGGAGTGCATTAAGGTCTGTTGTGATGGAGACTATCTGTAGACCATACCCTAACAGAACAAGTAATTTTGCTGTGAAGTAGAAGTGTACATTCACGTTTCAAAGGATGTGACTTAATAAATCCAGATAATGTAGAGGAGACTAAACTGTTAAATTAATTGTGCACTGAAGTGTTCTCACAACTTGTGTTGTGAGACATACTTGACTTGTAGCTTACAAGATGTACTCTCCATGTCTTGTTCTCCTTTGATGAGGAAACAAAGATGTGTGGTATTTCGGAGTTGACTCCTCGGAGGTTAGTCACAGGCTTAATCATATATCACAAATATGTTCAGAGTTCCTGTCTGTTGGGAAGAGTCCCTTTGAAAGTAAAACTGTAGCGGTTTAATTTTTCAGTCTTGTTTCATTGCATAGAGAGACTTTATGTGGTAAAGTGCTAGCAGAAGTTTGAAGAAAATCTGCTTTCCAAGAATTGCTGTCTTCCCCTGAAGAAAACAGCAAATGGCAAGATTTTTTGAAATGGATCAAATTCTCCAAGGGATAATTTTCCAAAGCAAAGTTGGGACTGGAGAGTCTGGCTGCCAACAGTGGAATGTCACTCTGTTGAACCGACTAATGCTATCCTCGGAGCTGCTTCAGAGCGCTCTGCCACACCGAAAGAGACCTTTGCAACTTTCTTATAAGTAATAAAATATGTTAGTGGGTATCAGAGAAGATAAATTGTGTATAGACTTTAATGGTGACTTTCTGCAAGTTTTGATAAACTTAAGGCAGCCATGTTAGGTTCATTGTAGTTGTGTTAGAAAAGCATACTGACTGTTTTTTGTTCAAAATGTCTTCTAGGTAAGAGAAGATACAATATTAAGCTGTGGAAAACCTTCACAGACTGTTTTAACTGTTTACCAATTGCAGCTATTGTGGATGAGAAAATATTCTGCTGTCATGGGGGTAAGTAACAGTTCCTCAGTTGGTATCAATCATGGCAATTTCATGTGTCGCTGAAGCTTCAAAACTTTAGGGATTTTCCTCTGCCTTGGCTCATCTGTGAGGCGTAGGGTTGAGCTTCATTAGTGCCAGTTTTGTGAATCATTGAGCTGGTAGTTTTGTAACTTCATACGCAATGATCTGCTTTTCCTTTTATACCAGAAGGCATCTTTAATAGCCTCTCCTTTTGAGTAAAGAATCCTTGTAGGGTTTTTTTCCAGACTTAGGTGACTAGGAGTTTGATGTGCATTCTGAAAACATACAGAGAATCATGGAATGGTTTGGATTGGAAGGCACCTTTAAAGATAGCTTAGTAGAATCCCCCCTGCCATGAGTAGGGACATCTCTCCCTAGGTTGCTCAAAGCCGTGTCCAGCCTGATGGGTGGAGTTTCATTTGTAGAAATGGGTTCTGTTATGCTGTGTGCTACCTGCTTCATGCAACTTTTCAAAGTAATAAAATACTGCACCTTAAATGTTTTATCACTTGCAAGTAATTACAGTTACCCAGGGAGACATGTCAGTGATATGAGGTCTGTTTGATACTGTATTTCATCTTACTAGGCCTGATGGTTAAAATAAACATACCCTGTGATTTCTAGTATTAGTGCCTCTCTTACTTAGCAGCTCTTTTAACAGACACTTGCAAAAATATTACAGTGAGATTACTGTAATCCTGTAAAATGTGGAAATGGCTTTACTTACCTTGCTTCCAGTAAATCTTCCAGAAAGTGACTTGTCTTCTGTTATAAAAGCTTTAAAACAAACGTTGGGTTAAAAAAATGTCAGTTAACATTGCCATTGAACTATGTAAAATTGCAATGGTGCATCAGTTTGAATGCAAATTATTTTTGTCTTGAATTAATACCTCAGTCTTGCAGAGCAAAGTTGGAACTGTGAACTGCATGTGTCTTAACTCTGAACAGGTTTGTCACCAGACCTTCAGTCAATGGAGCAGATAAGGCGAATTATGCGCCCCACTGATGTACCAGATCAAGGTCTACTTTGTGATTTGTTGTGGTCTGACCCCGACAAGGACGTCTTAGGATGGGGTGAAAATGACAGAGGAGTGTCCTTCACATTTGGTGCTGAAGTGGTTGCTAAGTTTCTCCATAAACATGATTTGGATCTCATATGTAGAGCTCATCAGGTATTCTAATTTTGTACATTGAACCATAGAATAGTTCAGGTTCAGAGGGACCTGAGGTGATCATCTGGTCCAACCTTACACACGTGTGCTCAACACAGGACAAACCAGCGTCAGCCCAAGTTGCTGAGGATCTTGTCCAGCAAAATTTTAAATATCTGCAAGGATTGAGATTCCACTGTCTCTGAACAACTTGTCCCAATGTTTAACAACCCTTGTAATGAACATTTTTTTCTTAATACATGCGAACTGTGGCTCTGATTCCTGAACAAGATTGTTTTGGGCCTATCAGAGTCCTGTTTTTCTCATTACTAATAAACTTTGTTGCTGAATGGGATCCTGCAATGGTCGTCTTGTTTTGGTGTAAAAGTTCGGAACTCATGCTTCTTAGATGTAACTGGTTTTTCAGCTGCTGGCTCTGTTAAAGCTGCTTTGCACCTTGGCGGGAAGAAAGTTGTCCAGTCTAATATTTCTGCTTTTCTCTCTAAAGGTTGTTGAAGATGGATATGAGTTCTTTGCAAAAAGGCAGTTGGTAACTCTCTTTTCTGCCCCAAATTACTGTGGAGAATTTGATAATGCGGGTGCCATGATGAGTGTGGATGAAACTCTAATGTGCTCTTTTCAGGTATAGTATGGGAAGATTTTTACCTCCTAATCAGTGTAGTCACACTTTAAATTTGAATGTTTGCTGTTTTGAATTGATACTTCACTGTTACAAAACCCTAATGGTTGTTTCAAATAGATCTTTACAGATACCACAGGCAGACAGGGCTGTGTCTGCACTCATGTCTTCAAAAATGTGATAAGCCCTTACCAGTGTCAGTAGATGAATTGTTCTGCCCTGGAATTAAATAATCCAAGAAAAGCTATCTGCTGTCAGCCTGCTTCCACTGGCAGGGGCTCTCAGATAGCTGCCCTAAGCCCTGTCCTAGCTCCGAGTGGGAAGCGCATTCATTGCTTGGCACATTTATGACTTCTCCAGATGACCTGTATAATGCCTCTACTAGTGAATTAATTGTTTCACTGTGGGAAAGCTAAAACTTTCTGCTAAACGACTGAACTATCTTTTCAGATTTTGAAACCTGCAGAGAAAAAGAAACCCAATTCCAGCAGACCTGTAACGCCTCCCAGGGGTATGATCACAAAACAAGCAAAGAAATAGTCACTTTGGCGCTGCCTTGTTGGGACTTGTATTATAGAATATAACCTCCATTTTTAAAACTGTAATGTGTTACTGTTCAGCTTGCTCAAAATAGATAACGTGTTTGTGGTTTTCCTTTTGATTTGATGAATGGCATTTGCTGGTTGTAACAGCAAATGAAAGACTTTCCTCCCTCCCAGGAAAAGAGTTTTAAACTTTCCTTTTGTTGGTGTTACAGCTGTACACTCCACAGCATCCTATCCTGTCGTTATGGGTAATTGTACAACTGACTTCCTGAATCTGTACAATGAGTAGTGTAAATGCTTGATTTCTTCTTTAGGATCTAAAGAGGGCACTAGTGTGCTGTGAGAGTAGAAGTTTGTTACTGTCAGGAATTACATACTGTTTATACAAACCACTGTGAACTTTTTTTACGTTAAATTTTGTTTTAAAGGGATTGCTTTTCTTTTAATGTCTTGTCATGTACACGTTAGTTTTATTGCTGTCAACATTAGAGATAACCTTCCACCTTGCCAGCATCACTGGTATGATGTATATTTAATACAGACACACACCCCTCTCCGTATACTTCAAATGACAATTAAAGCCATTATTTTAAGTGTTTGTGTCTCTTTCCTGAAGCCAAAGTTCGCTTAGAAAACTGTTCGTACACGACCCACCACACTGAGTTGGCAGGACTTCCCATTCACGCCTTCCTCTTGGAGATAAAAGGAAGTCCTGGCTTGAAATAGTACGTAGAAATGCTGTGCTGTTTAGTCTGTTCACGGCAAAAGTAAACACATTTTTGTACAGTTTCCGTATGTTCGATCAAGTCAACCGTTGTACAGTGGCACCAGTCCTGCGGCAGCCAGCGTCAGAAAGCTGGAAGTTACAGCCGTGCTGCTGGATCTGCCTGAGTGGTTCTGTGCATTTTAACCTAAAGACTTTGTTCTACAAAGCAGCTTGATGAGCCAGCCAGAGGTGTTGATCTTGATCACCGGTTTATATAAATCTCTCACAGAATCTTGTTTTTTAAAAACTGTTGATCTTTTTTGAACAGATAACAGTGTACAATAACATGTAGTGAAAATCACTTATTAAATGAGGAAATTGTTAAATCTTCTCAGTGTCAGTTTATCACAAAATACACTGCTGCTGTCAGAGGACCTGACTTAGAAATAAATTGTTCTGAAAAACCACAAATTCTTGGTATGGATTTCTCTAAGCTACAGGTATGTTTTTTAAACAGGAGCACTGGATTTAGAACTGCTTCTGGAGCTTCCCAGGCTTGGGAGGACACGCTCGTCTCTGCTCCTGTTTATCGTTTGGTGTTTTCAGTGGGGTTTGCCTTGAATAAAAGTACTGCTTTTTGGGACTGCAGTCTAAGGGTCGTAGCTGAGGACAAGACCCATTTCCTCTAGTTCTTAGCTAAAGAACTAAATTCTTGACAAAGAAGCAAAATCGATTAAACTTGGCAGCAGCTGGCTGTGCCGTTAGCAAGGCTTGGTGTACACCAGCTAGGGCAGGTTGCCCTGAAGGTGACGGATAAGGAATCTGCTCTCCTGCCCTTGACAGGAATGCGGCGGTGGTCTGTATTCCTTCATCTGCTGCCTCCTCCCTGTGACTTGTGGAAAATACAGCAAGATTTTTAGAAGCCCAGTGAGGTGGCTTGTTCGGTATCACCAGCCTGTCCTAAACGGCTGCGGCGATGAGCTGCTGGTGCTTGGTGGAATCTGCGTGTGAGGAAGGAGTCTCTGTCGCGGAAATGCCCAGCTCTGAGAGCACCGGTGCTGTCCTGACGTTCCGCTTAGCGGAGGAGATTCCCTTCACTTCTGGAGCGAGCTGACCTTTTTTGACAAGAACGTGCTTTCTGGGCAGTCCCCGGCCATTGATTTTACTTGTTAGTGTATATCTCTGCCAAATCAAAGAGCCTTTTTCCTACTCCGAAGACTTTTTTTTTCCCCCTCCCTCTAAAGCTAATTGATCAAACTACCTCTTGGTAACTTTTGATGAGCTCATTAGATTAGGTGTCAGAGATTGCCTGTTAAAGGTTTTCTCGCAAGCCTACTTTCACACTTTAAATCACATTTGTGGTTTTCCTTATAGCCCTATAATTTTTCTCCCTCCTTGTAAAATAGTCACCTGCATGTCTTTTATTGATCTGGTGAATAACAGAGTGCATGCAGGACCAGTTTTTATTTGACTTGTATCCGAAGGAATGCATTAACCCATCTCTGCAACCATTAGCTTGCCGACTATTCCGCCTGTCGCTGTCACACCTTTTTCCTCTGTGACTTGTTTTTTCTGTCCTCAAATGCAGCTTTAGTGACACGTGTGCCTATTCTGGGCTGCGTTTTCTGCTTGGCTGCATTCCCCAGGGCTGGTTCACGTACCTCGGGCTGCTCAGGGAGGAAGGAAGTCCCACGGCACCATGGTGGAGGTGGAAAGGTTCCTGTTCTGCAGCAGGTCTACTGATCTCGCTACGGGTGGTGATCGAAAGTTCAGAGGCAGGTTTTGTCTCCGTTTTTTGGTCATTGGAGAGAGGGAGAAGGCGCAACAGGCAGGAGAAAAGCTGCTAATTGCCTGTTGTTTTTCCGTAACGATCCTGGTGTCAATCACAGAATGACTAAGGTTGGAAAGGACC